CTGTCTTTGCCGGGGCAGCGCGGCAGCTCTCGGCCGCGGCCCCCGCGGGGGCTTTGGTCGCTTTTGCACTGGTCTGTGGAGCCCCGTGTGCATGAAGCTGCGCAGCTCCGGGGCGGGTGATTCCCAGAGGCCTCCCGGGCAGGGACCTGCTGGTATAAATAAATCCCCATTCCTTCCTGGGGCTAGGAGGGGGCATGCACGCATCTCCAGGAGTGCGATGCTGCTCACCTCATTTTTGGTTCCTGTGAATGGAGAGCACCTGCCCAGCACTCTCCCTCTCCTTCTCCTCCACCCCTGACATTTTAAAAGCCCGCTTGGGGGGCACCACCCCATCTCTTTCTCTGCAGGTGAGCAGGTCCTGTGTGGCTCCAGGCATCTTTGATAAAACTATCTTAGTGAAGGAAATTTGCAGAAGGAAAAAAAAAGAAAAGAGCTTCAGATCTGATCTCTGTGCAGAGGGACAAGGGTGAAGGTGTGCGGCCACCCGCCCGTGTCAGCCACCACCACCACCGAGAGGAAAAGGCAGCGTGTTTGCACTTACATGTCACCAGCCAGAAAAAAATTAGTTTGTCAGTCCTCTGCTTCATGCTTTCCGTGCTTTGCTTTATATTCAGGCAGAGCACAGCGAGTCTCCTGGTGCTCCTGAGCCACAGCCCAGCGCACCAGCTGTTGCCATATCACAAGGCACCTGTGGTTTTCCCTGTCTCCCCGGTGGCCTGGTGTTAGCTGAAGATAATTAGATCTCAATTATCACCAGGAAAGTTTTGAGCCTCTTCCCAGTGTGGCTCTGCAGCTGGTCTTAGTGGAAGGCAGGGGCTCTGTCCCTCCGGCTGCCTTTGGGCAGAGCTGGCACCCTGGGCTGGGATGTCGCTGTTTGGGGAGAGAGAGGGGTTTCTGCTATAAAACACCCTTGGAGCGATGCAGCCCTAATAGGGACCTGGAGAAGCCCCCAAGCAGGCATTCACTGCCCCTACAATGGCACTGAGCCTGCCCTGGCACCCAGCACCCTGTGAGAGGGAAACGACCCGTGCCGGTGCCCGGCTGTGCCGGCTCCAGCCCTCCCCGGTGCCGAGGCCGATTTCCAGCCCTGGGGTGCAGAGCCAGCCCTGCCTGCCTTGCTTGTGGCAACAGCTCCTGGGGGCAGTTTGCAGGATCAGAAACCCCACGGGCAGCCAGCACCGCTTGTGCATCCTTGTGTGCACGGGGAGCACCGGGGTGTCGCGTCCGTGGCATGCAGGGACTGGCCGTGCTGGGAGGGGAGGCCGCAATGTGCCAGGCACCTCCGGTCCCAAACTGCTG